ACAAGGGAACCTACTACGGTTGTCAACATGTTCATAAAACAACGGTAAAACTTACCCTGTAAGCGCGCATGTCGGAAAGCATTCGAACGCCTTTGCCCTTTTGCGCGCGTGAGTATTCGCAGGAATCCCTGGCACAAAATTCGACGAAGTGAACACGCGCGCGCCGTCGCGCGCATGCCGGAATCCTTCTAAACCCCAGGTTTCGCAGGGATGTTTACATTGAGTGTTTCGAGAACATCTGAACACATGGTTTTGCAACAGTACATTGCGTAGATTGAAACATATGTTCGCGTGCCTTCGGTTTCTTAAGAGAACCATGGTTTTTGTTTCAACGTTTTGATTTGCTTATGCCGAATGGGCCTCTCGCGCCGCATGTCGAAATCATTCAAACGCCCTTGCGCGCGTGTTGCGGGGGGGGACGCTCCTTGTCAAATGATACCGTGGCACCCCGCAGATGCAGATAAGAGTGAGGGGGCGGTGGGGTCGTCGGCAGTTTGCAAGACTCTGGAGAAGCCCACCGCAGGCGCCGAACATTCACACATTATACAACGAACCCGCCGCAGGCGCCGATTTTTTCGTTAAACAAATGTGGGTCGGTCGCGAGTCAATCGCAAATGGGTCGCGGGTGGGCCGCTGTGGATCGCGGGTGGGTCGCGGGTGTAGAGGGCAGGGCAGAAAATCCACCCCATAAGAATCACCCCGACAAGCGACGCCGTTTAGTAAACGCACGCAAGGACTGAATCGAACAGGGCAGGTAGTAAACGCCCAAGGTCGTTTAGTAAGCGTCAGTTGACGGGTTCGGGTGGTTTATCTTGCCTTGAGGGGTCGCAAGGTGGGTCGCGGATGGGTTGCGGGATGGGTCGCGGGTGGGTCGCGGATGGGTCGCGGGATGGGTCGCGGGTGGGTCGCGGGTGGGTCGCGGGGTGGGTCGCGGGTGGGTCGCGGGTGGGTCGCGGGTGAGTCGTTGGGTGGGTCGCGGGTGGGTCGTGGGGTGGGTCGCGGGTGGGTCGCGGGTGGGACGACGACAACAAACAACAACAACGAAACAAGCAGAATTCTCACCACGACTTCCTTTGTTCAACCACGCACCCAGGGACAATGAATGACCGTTCGGCCCCCTCACTCTGACCATACGGGCCGCTCTCGCGCGTCGGCCGCGCGCGCATGTCGAACTCCCTCCAAGAAATTGCATCACCGACGCGAGGACGCCGTCATCGTCGTCGGCGTGATCAGCATCGGCGCGGTCACGGGCCTTGCCGTCGTCGTTGTCATCATCGTCGCCAGCATCGCTACCAGCATCGTGTCTACCGTTGCCGACGTTTCCATGATACCGCGGCCGCCCAAGTTGCCGAGTCGCAGTGAAGAGCCCGCGGGGAACTGCCCAGCGGTCAGCGCCACCGCGGCCGCGTCGGTCACGCCAAACTAGCTGGCCGTTGCGCGCTCGAGCATGCGCGGGCCAGTGCGGCCGCAGAGATGCACCAGCGAACACCAAGCATTCATCGCAATCGCCGCCGCATGGGTTTTGGAAACCAACTTGCGGGTGGGTGAGTGGGAGGGTTTTGCAAGCAGTGGCCACAAGTCAGTGCGAACAGAAAATGAGTTCGCACTACGTACAGATTCACACAAAGATGAGATCTACCACTCCCTGAGGATGGGATTGCCGGTGCGCCCTGGGGACGAGCAAATTCCAGATTATGTTGCTGCACCGTTCACTCTAAGTATGAACAGTCCCAGCCAGGCCGATATCGGTCCCCCCTTTTTCATCTCTTGCAAAAAACGTATGCGCGCACGCGTTCACCAAAAATCATCCATTGTTCCCAAATCCGCAGCAGACGAAACGAACGAATTGCGCACGCGCGCGTCGCCGCGCGCGCATGCTCAAATCTTTCAACGCATTCACCCCGACTTGTGCGCCCCAACACGTTTTTGCAACAACAAAAATATGCACACGACGTAACAACATGGTTTGTCGAAACAACGTCTGCGCGCGCATCTACGACATCTTCAGGAAACCGTTGTTTGTTCGACATGTTCAGTTGGTGCAAGCAAGCGGGTTTCTTCGCGCGCGATCGCCGAACTCATTCGATAACCATTTCGCGGGTAGTGGGCGAGGGGGGGCACGATCTTTGTCAAATGAAGCCATGCGGGCCACTCGCGCTCGTCGGGGGCGCGCGCGCATCGACCCCCAATCACCCATGGATCGCCGATGGGCCCGACAGAACGGCCCCACCCAGGACCGGGCGGAATGGCTGTCGGGAGCCTATCGCAGACCAATCCGAGATACGTCGCCGATTCCGGGCCGATGCTTCCCCCCGGAGCTGGTCCCCGCGATCCTTGAGTCTAAGAGGGGGGAAAAGGAGGGAGGGGGGAGGGAGGGAGGGAGGGAGGGGGAGAGGGTGACGAGGGAAGGGACGGGGAGAAGGGAGGGAGAGGGTGAGGGCGAAGAGGGAGGGGGGAGGGGGAAGAGGGAGGGAGGGAAGGAGGGAGGGATGGGGCAGTG